ATCATGATAACGTCATCACACATAATTTGAAATATAGTAAACATCATAGCAGTTGTACTCATCTGCATAAGTAGATACCCATTTCGGGAACTTCAAAATACAAGAATTATCAAGAACTCTCATTCTCTTCATGTAACCTGAATCGCCGAAAATTGGGTCTGGATATTCTCCATTTCCCATTTCCGTTGCAATGTGGGGAGATTGCCCCAACTTTATGCTGTAAACTTCACCTCCCCATTCTACACTTTCTGCACCACTAATTATCAAACTAAATAAGTTATGAGGCCAGTACCCCACGTTAATTTTTTCTCCATATTGCATCCACCAATTGTTTGTATTTGGATCCTGAAATCAAAGGATTATAAAAATTCTGAAGATATGAGAATAAAATATTATTCAAAACGTTTTCAATGAAAGAAAAGTTCCATTTCGTTTTACCTTAAATATGTAAATAGTTATCTGGTATGGAAGGTCGTTAGCTACTGAGATGGGATAAATTGCAGCCCAAAGTGCAATTTCCTTGCTAGTTTGAACAAAACCAGGGCAAGTAAGATCAAAGCACCCTGTTGCCTTTGATCCATCAACCTATTTAATAAAGAAAAGAAATAAAATTTTGGATCTTACGTTGTGTATTTAGTAGCATAGACATCTCCACAAGAAGTTAACCTCCATAAAAATTATAATAACTTATTTGTTGACAAGTACTTACGGTCCAATATACATACAATCGAGTCTTCTTATCCCCATACACTCTTGGATTTACCTGAAAAATTATGAACCAAAAAAGAAAAAAGGTATTTGTTTAGCTAGTGTTGTAATGGATGAATGACTGAACTGAAAAAGAATTCTTAGTTATACTAACCGCCCATCTAGATTCAATGCTTTCAAAATCGTAGTAAGGACCACTTTGGAGACTAACTCGGGAAGTACTGTACTCATCGTCAGATTTGACAGAAGGGTCCCAAACTTTGATGTCTGCTTTAGCTCCAAAGTAAATATAACCTAGTGTAAGCAGTATTGCCTTTTGATTTAATTACAGAAATTGAACCAAATCAGAAAAAATAGGAAAAAGATAATGATTCAAAGTGAATATGATCACGTATTAACCATAAAAGTTCAGAAGAGTACGAAGCAGAAGATGTTCACTAAATTTATTGTTTGCAACTCACTTTGAATAAAATTGGATTGTCAAGACATGCATGCCAATCAGCCTTCATGCGTCGATTTCCGACAAGGAAGGAATGCGTCGTCGATTTCCGGTGAGGGAGGAACACGTCGTGGATTTCAGGCGAGGGAGGAACACGTCGTCGCGATTCAAAGACTGGAGTTGCAATCGATTTCAGCAATGAATGGTTGCGATTTCAGCAAGATTCAGTTTTGATTTGTGTGGGATTTCAAATTTTCGCGATTTCATTCAAAAAATTTCAGAGTATTTTGCGCGTAGAGAAACTGCACGATGGGGAGAAAGTGAGAAAATTAAGGATTTTTTTTCCCTTTTTATTATTAGGCCGGTTTTGCTTGCGGTCCGGTTGGACCGGCGGTCCAGCACTGTTTAAGTGGTCCATTAACGGGTTAAAACGGGTTATTGCATAATACCAGTTTTTATATTAACTTGAACCGGACACGTGACCGGCCAATCTTGTCCGGCTTTTAAAACAGTGGCCTAGACAACAACATCTATACCTATCCAATTGTAACAATTTGTTCATCAATTCATATTTTTTGTAGTACTAGCAAACAATCTTCAACATATATGAAAAATGTTATTTCACATTGCACAACAACACATTTTTCATCGGCTCTTACAATAACAAAGCAAATGAAGTGTTTAATACGAAGGTAGTAAAAAAAAAAAAAAACAATTGTCAAAAAGGTCAGTATCAACTAACAAGTAGAAAACATTGGTTCAACAGGTAAGACAAACACTCTCATCTACAAATTGCCAAAGTCATTATTAACCCAATATGCCCTTTGCTCAGGTGGCAGGTGTACAAATATCTCACGCCACTCTAGCTTGTCAACTAAGAACTTCACAACCGCCACGAATATCTTTGAATCCAGTTGCATATTTGTCAAAAGGTCGATACATTTTGGCATGGAATTTTGATCTGTTCTTTCGCTTGTGTTCTCTTGGACCCCACCATCTTCACTGCGATATGCTGCCTTAGATGCCATAGTAATCTCAGTAATAGCGTCCAACAATTTACCAATCACACCAAAAGTGGGTTTCCCCAAACGCATTTCTTCTTCCCATCTATGGAACTTCCAAACCCAGACATGTTTGATCTTTTTTCCCCAGTTGTTCTATCCAGATCAGGTTCCAACACATCTTCTTCAATGTCCACCTCTATAGTGTCGGGCAAAAAAATGGTAGAGTCTGCTGGTTGAGATACAGATGTGTAAACAAATCTTCTAGTTGCATTTTGCTTGTCGAATATAACTCTTTATCAACAAGTCCCTTATGTACAAAGTCCTTTGCCCCTGGGTTTCGCTGTTAATGAAAACAAACATAAATTAAATTTCATAATCCCCAAAAAAGTTCATACTAGTTACTGTGTAATAAACAAAATAAAAATATGCAATTTACCTTTAAATATTCTTGCCAAATCGCTTTAGGACATGTTGGAGTTTGAGACTCATAATCCCAACCGAACCCTGTATGTTGAAGTAGAGCACGCCAAGAGTTATATGCCGATTTCAAGTGAAAATACTTAGAAGACAACTGTTTGACTTTAATTTTCTTCCCGAATTTTTCCCATAAGTTATCACTGTTAATGAAAACAAACATAAATTAAATTTCATATTCCCCAAAAAAGTTCATACTAATAAACAAAATAAAAATATGCAATTTACCTTTAAATATTCTTGCCAAATCTCTTTAGGACATGTTGGAGATTGAGACTCATAATCCCAACCGAACCCTGTATGTTGAAGTAGAGCACGCCAAGAGTTATATGCCGATTTCAAGCGAAAATACTTAGAAGACAACTGTTTGACTTTAATTTTCTTCCCGAATTTTTCCCATAAGTTATCACTAATAATCTTGTAATCTAAAGATTTAATTGAAGAACCATGTGCCGGTTTTGCACGCTCAGCCAACAGAAGTAGAAAATCATGGGTGATTAGAGGATCCCAATGAATGACCTCACTCATCTAATAACAGTAGGATGAGAACAACAACCAAGATTGAAACATCATAAAAATCAGCACACATATCAATACAAACATATGCAAATTAATACCTTATAAACTAAACAAAGAGAAATTATTACCTCGTTTGACCCAACACTACTTGAAGCGGTAAGTACAGGTGATACTACGAGCATAGTAGACCACCAAGGTCTTCAATAGAATCCAAGTACGGCAAAACGTCGAACTGAAAGTAATAATCAATCCTGCAACGGAGGACTGAATTACACCTCCATTTGTTCATAGCAATGTAATTAGTTATTAGGATCAAATTACAATGCCCAATCTACACAATGAATAATGCATATGTTAGACAAGTTGCTATAAAACTTTGATCAAAGTACAAACTAATAAGTAAAATAACCAAAATTTATCATCCAGAACTGATGGTTGATAAGAATTCTAGTTTCAGAATTTTTTTCTTCCACACTGATCTCCCACTTACTCTTTCCAATTCAATATACTATCCTTCTAATAATACTCACATTTCCTATTCTCTTGTTATACATTCTCCGACATTTTAACTAGCTAACCAATCTAACTCCCCTAATGAAAGGAGAGCAACAGTGATTATTTGAAACAAAAAAGAAAAAGATTTCAGACCATTCAATCTTAATCACAGCAACCAAAATTTTGATGGATTGAATTTCACTAAGCAAATCCACCACAGGCCACGCATAAGACAGCAGCAGGCCCAGACCAAAACAAACCAGCACCAGGACAAAGACCAACACAAAACAGGATTGAATTTCACTAAGCAAATCCACTACAGGCCACGCCTAAGACAGCAGCAGGCCCAGACCAAAACTCCACCTCACACCAGCCCACACACCCACGCTCACACCAAGCACCTATCACCCACAACCCAACAACCTGCTGTCTACACAAACAAACCAGTACCAGGACAAAGACCAACACAAAACTGGATTGAATTTCGCTAAGCAAATCCACCACAGGCCACGCATAAGACAGCAGCAGGCCCATTTTGCGGCAGCACTGAAGAGGCAGCAGCCAACCCAGATGCAGCTCCTAATTCCCCCACACAAAAGCCACCCACAGTTCTCCCAAAGACCAACACAGCCAGCAAACCAATCCACACCCCAAGGACAACCAAAAAAGGGCAAGGGGAGGCAAAACACAGGACACCATAAAGCTACCTCAGAAAGGAGAAGCAAAAAAACCAGGCAGTAACCAAAAAAAATCCTAAAGGCACACAACCAGCTGCAGAAAAAACAAACCACCAGCCCAGCCACACTAAAAACATGACACCAAAGCAAGCAGCCAAAACAACCCTAGCAGCAGCCAACAACCACCAGACACGCACAAATCAAATCAGCACCAAGCAAACCAGGAGACCAACAGCAGCAAAAGAAAAAGCACACCCCACCATCCAAAGCAACCAAAATCACCAAACCATGCATCATTTGCCACAAACCAAGAAGGGTCTCCACGGCTTACCAACTCCCCACACACCCAGCCAACCAGCGCACAAAACTGCAAACAGAACAAACTGCTGCAGACGAGACAGCCCCAGACTTCAAACTCCACCTCACACATCCACACTCACACCAAGCACCTATCACCCACAACCCAATAACCTGCTGCCCACACAAACAAACCAGCACCAGCACAAAGACCAACACAAAATACGGAACCTATTTTCAGTAAGCAAACAGAATGAGATTTATATAAACAAAAACACAAAAACAGAGATCAGACGTGCTTACGGATATGAGGAAGCTGAGCTGAAAGTGAGAAGATGAGAGACATCTAAACCGGAAGAGAGAAGATTGGCCAGATCTGAGCCGAAAATGGGCAAGGTAAGCTGTGTTCACAGAGCTACTTCTTGCTGTGTGGACGGTGCCCACCAAAGCACAGACTCTACTCACCCACTACTGGACTATTCTACAGGCTGGTGAGACTATTCAACTACAAATTGAGAGAGAGAGAAAGGGAGAAAGAGAGTTTGTTTTGGCTGGTGAATAAGCGAAGAAGAAGAAGAAAGTCAGAGAGAGAACGAAACAAAAACGAGAGAGACAATGGTTGAATAAGATTAAACAGTTCTGGATTTTGAAAAACAGGATGTGAATAATGTACCAAACAGGTGTTTTTACTGTTTATATTAAATAGGATAGTAGAATGGGGTTTTAAAAAGTGTACCAAACAGGGGGTATGATATTCGGATTCCTAACTTCTTGATTGACGCTTACTGCAGAAAAGGGCATTTGCAGAAAGCTGAAACTCTTAAAAACAGGGCTAAATTGAAGGGGGGAAAGCCTAATGCCTGGACTTGGTTCTATATTGTAACAGTGTATCTGAGGGATAATAAAACTGAAAAAGCAGCAGACAGTTTTGAGGAAGCATTAGTTGTTCGTGGTCACCAGTGGAAGCCAAATGAAAAAAGTTGGGCGGCCTCTGTGGAACACTTAAAAGAGAAAGGAGATTTGGAGGGTGCAGAGAAAATTATAAAATTACACAGGGACAAGGAGATTATCTCTGTGAATGTCCAAGACAGATTGTTGAATAATGTTCGGGTTGGGAAATCAAACTTGGACGCAATCAGCTAGTTCTATGATGTTTCTTTGGTCAGAAATTCATAAGCACTTTCAGAGCCCTGATGATGATGGGAAGTATTCGATCATAGAAGAGGTAATATGATGAGTATTTATTTGGAAATTTTCTGACACAATCTGGAAGCCAATGTTAGATATCCCAATGATAAAAAGAGCTCAAAAATTTTGGTTTAACGCCTTCTGATGATTGTGATTATATGACATATTTTTCCTGTCCTGTTTGGGATAATAATTATAAGCCAGTTCAAGGTTCATCATAGATTGGCGAGGAAGACTATTTGTCACGTGCGTAAGACATTTCAGTTGAATCCTGTATGAAGTATTTGAATTGAACATGAACCTTATTCTTTGATCATTTTCATCAATTTTCTTACTTGCCAAACAAAAATTCATCATTTCCTTTCTTTACCAAACTAACACAACTTAAATTCAAGTAAAAGAATGTGGATTCCAATTAAACATCAAGACAAAACCAGTAATTAACATTAGTTAACCAACAAGGCAACAAGACAAGCACGTAATAAATTAACAATAATAAATTCCTTCTATCACCAACACCACATGCTCATCCATTCAATTTTAACATGCATACTAATAAACTTCACCACTCAATATCCAAGATCATAAATATTTATAAGAAGCCACACATACATGTTTAATCTAATCTCCAGTCGGCATTTTAATGCCTAACTTTCCAGCACATTTTAAAGCACAAAACAGTCAATTCTCAAAGCTAACCCAGCCGAACATGCATTGTAATATCCAGCTAACATTTTAATTTAAACACAACCAAATATACTCCAACCTACTGCCCAGCCAGAGTACAGTCCATGAACCACCCCACAAGCATTTCCGTCGACACAACCAAGCATAAATTCAACTCATTATCATTTTAGCCGAGGTTTACAAGGTAGAATTTTATCAAATTAAAATAAATTGAAACGTGAGGTTTATTAATAACAATAAATGAGGTGAAACATTACCAGTGAACCAATGTTTGAAGAAGATAAAAAGATGGATGAAGATGCAGTAGAAGAAGACCATTGTTTGGGTTTGAAAAGAGAAATCAAAGAAATTATTCTCTTCTCCCTTGTTCCAGTTGAAGGTTTGACCACCAAAAGCTTCAGTTGTTGGTGAAGCAAGAATCTAAACAAACAAACAGAACAAAAAGTCACATAAACATCAAGTTAATAAACTTATTATTCTGTTTACACGATCATATAAAGAAGACTTACATTAGAGAAAAGTACAGGAGAGTCGAAGAGGTCAGTTGGGCTCAAACCAGAAGATGGGATGGATAGGTAAGAAGAGGAGAGACGGGTAATGAAGAAGAAGAAGAAGGATTTGAGAGCGAAATCAACAGGAAAGTGGAACACAGGAGATTGGCAGCAGCTAATTTGAAGAAGGAAGATTCAACTGATCGCTCCAATTCCCAAACCTAATTCCTAATTAGAGTGGGCCGTTACGAGTACCCGCATTTTTCTGGGAATCGAACCGTATAATGCAGGTTCCAAAAAAGAAACCTAAAACTGTCGGTTCCAGTTCTTAAATTCGAAGAATTGGAACCTTAAGAATTGGGACCTAAAATACAGGTTCCAGTTTTTTACCCAGGTACCCTATAAAAAATCGAATAATGTTACAGATATTAATATTTTTACACCGAAATCTTATATCGGTCTACGTGTCCCATGATTCATATCAGCAAATCAAACACGTTTCACGTTATTTCTATTTTTTTCTAGTAAACGGTCATTCATCAAATATGAACGACCGTTCACTTACATGGACTCTCGTCCATATTATATGGACGAGATTCCATTTATTACGGACGGGCATCCCCATTTAAAGGACGCCGTCCTTCAGTAAAATAGAATAAATTTTTTTCATAAAAATTAGGGACGGCCATCCACAATTTATGGACGGCTGTCCCTAAATATTGGACGGGCATTCATATTTTAATGGACGCCCGTCCATTAACAATTCTTTTTAAAAAATTAAAAAACATTTAGGGACGGCCGTTCATTAGTTATGAACGGTCGTCCCTTATATTTGGACGGGCGTCCTTAAAGAATGGATGCCCGTCCCTTTCGTTCTTACTCATTCTCACTCTCGTCTTCCAAATATCTTCAATCAGTTTAGCGTTTGTCGCTTGATCTGTCCATTGAGGAAACGCCACCACGGGCACACTGCTAGCCAAGCTCTATAGCGTTGAGTTCCATCCACAATGCGTTACAAAACATCCTATCGCTGGGTTTGACAATACCTCTACTTGTGAACACAACGGCACTATCATACCTTGTTGCTCTAGTTCTTCTCTAGATCTGCTACTCATCAATTTATCTTTTTCCTTGTCTTCCTCTTCATTTTGATTTTCTCTTATGACCCACAAGAACGGGTGGGCACTACCGAGCAACCCACGTGCAATCTCCTCCATCTGTTGCCTTTCCAACACGGTCAGACTTCCAAACGACACATAAACTACTGATGACTTGGGCTTTGAGTTTAGCCATTCAATATAATCATTTGAACCACAGAATAGATCCACTCCAAATGAAGTATCGGATGGGTCTTTTCCATCCAAAAATGCAGATGGAATCAAAGGTCCGACTGTTATCATGTTGAATTTATCAATAGCTATTAACGCTTCAGATTCTAATGCATCAAATGTGTTAACGAGTATTTTCGGGTTCCTTTCTTCATGAAGAGCCTCCATTTGCTCCTGAAATGACTCTAATGCATGAGGGTACTTATCTGAAGGGAGTAAAAAAGAAGGAAGATCACAGCTACTGAGTGATGGTAGCCTTGGTAACTCTATTAAACATGAACCTTTTTTTGCGTTCTGTTTAAACCACAATAAGGGACGAGCGTCCAGGGACACCCGTCCAAACTTAAGGGACGCCTGTCCATAATTTATGGACGGGCGTCCAAAATTAAGGGACTGTTGTCCATAACTAATGAACGACCGTTCCTAAATGTTTTTTAATTTTTTTAAAAGAAGTGTTAATGGACAGGTGTCCATTTAAATATGAACGCCCGTCCAATATTTAGGGACAGCCGTCCATAAATTGTGAATGGCCGTCCCAAATTTTTATAAAAAAATCTATTCCATTTTACTGATGGACGGGTGTCCTTTAAATAGGGACACCCGTCCGTAGTAAATGGACCCCCGTCCATATAATATGGACGAGAGTCCATGTAAGTGAACGGCTGTCCATATTTGATGAACGGCTGTTCACAAGAAAAAAATAAAAATAACGTGAAACATGTCTGGTTTGTTGGTGTGAATCACGGGACACGTAGGCTGGTACAAGATTTCGGTGTAAAAATGCCGATGTCCGTAGCATTATTGTAAAAAATCAATTACCCTTTATTAGTTTAAAAAATGATAAAAATACCTTAAAAGTTTACACTTACAACACTAACAAATTAAGAAAACCTACATATAGTAATTTTCAACTCTTGATAACTCATGTATTTGTGTCCAATGTGACTCATAAATCCTATAGTCTCTAGGCAACACTTGAATTCAATCAATTCATCACAATTAACATAAAATTTCTCAATCAAAACCAAAACACAAATAGGTTCCAAGCAGGATACCTGCTTTAGGTTCTTTTCCTAGGTTCCGATTCCGATTTTGGTTCCGAAACCTGTAGGAACCGAAACTGCACAGTGTCGGTTCCCAATAAAATGGAATCAAAATCTACCCGCACAGTGTCAATTCCGGGTAGGTTTTGGTTCCGATTCTACCCGCAGGTTTCGGTTCTATCTGCTACCCGTGCTCATCCTTATTCCTAATTCAGTAAACAAAATTACATAATACTCCCCACAATTTAAAAAAAAAAAAATTTACCCCGAGTTCTCACCCGGGTACCCGGATCCAAGGTTTGGGTCCGAATCCAATTCCTAAATTGGTGGATCCGGAACTTGACCCTAATGGCTCAAAGTCTACGGATGGGTACCCGTCGATTCCAATTCTACCCTTGACCCATGCTCATCCTCACTCGATGCCGTTAACTCTTGAAAATATAAAAAGAATAATACTACAACATATACAAAGTTTTCTTAAAAATTAATAAATATACTACACTGCTATTTTTTAAACTATCAGTGTTCCTCAATAATTACATAAAAACTATGGGCTTTTGAATGATTCCTAAAATAAAATCAAAATTAATTGAAAAAAAAAAAAAAAAAAAAAAAAAAACCCAAAACCCTTAAACCCTTAAACCCTTCTAGTGTCTTCATCGTGAGCACTTCATTTCTTTCTCTTTCTTTGTAATTTTTTCCTGCAAATGAAGTTTGTAAGCTCGCGTACAATCCTTGAAAGCATCAAACTTCAGCTCCGACTTGGAAATGTTTCGAGAATTTCATCATACTCAACCGCAACACGAAACCTCACAACAGAAAGGAGAAGCACGAACCCGGACTCAAACTCAATGCGCGGTCTGTTCCGTCGTATCACGCCGCTGGGAGATCCAACGGTCTCCATTGTTCCCTTGCTCGATCAATGGGTCCAAGAAGGACGAACCGTAGAGAAAGAACAGCTCCAACTCTTCATCAAAGAGTTGCGATCCTTCAGACGATTTACTCACGCTCTTCAGGTATTAACAAATTAATTATATTTTAAATTAATTAATTTCAATTTTTAGGAATTATTTCGCGCCTTGTTAATTAATTTTAAGAATTAATTAATTAACTAATTATACATATATATATAATTTTTCGCGTCACAGACCACACTGTCCATAGTTTCATGGAATGTGTCATAAATTGTTTAATGGGGCTTGAAGTTGTTTGAATTAAAATTTTGTTCTTGATTTGTTTAAAACATGTGTTGAATTTATTAGTTTTAAAATTCGTTTTAAAGTAGGAAATTATGAAAATCTTCTTGAACATCTCCTAAAATTCGTTTATTTTCTAGATTATATGGATTCGTTTATTTTCTTAGTTTTGTTAATTTCGTTTGTCAATAGCTATTTTTAAAATGGAGC